GGTCAGGCTTTGAGACTTAGAGTGAGGATGATTGTGGAAACCAAATTCATCCTGTCAGCAAGCCAAGGTTTGCTGAAAACGAGTCCCCTCCTTAGGGTTAACTTTGCCCTAAGACTGAAGTTACAGCTGTGGTAGTTGCAAAGATCTGGTGACAATCTCTCCATTTTCCATCAATTCCTTTGTCTCAAACTGGGCTGCAAACATGTTCAATCCCCCTCCAGTCAGAAATAGGGCTCATGAGCCTGATTTTGGGGACAGGTGGGCAGGACTGGGGATGGGAATCAGAGCCACAGAAAGGCCACGGAGAGGCGTGGTTCCACCTCTAAAACAGCACATGTGCTGGTAAATGCCATTTGAGCACATTCTGGGCTATTTCATAGGATATAAGCAGAGATATAGATGATTTGTAGCATGCATATTGAATCCTATATTGTGTCTATATTGCATGTTATATTGTAGATATACTGCAACGGTTTCAGGGGAAGACTAGGCTGAATATAAAGGAAAGGTTCTTCCCCCAGAGGGAGGTTGGCACTGAACAGGCTCCCCAGGGCAGTGGGCACAGCCCCAAGGCTGCCAGAGCTCAAGGAATGTTTGCACAACACTCTCAGGGATGGGGTGGAATTGTTGGGGTGTCTGTGTAGGGCCTGGAGTTGGACTGGATGGTCCTTGTGGGTCCCTTCCAGCTCAGCATATTCCACGATTCTGTGATATCTCTCTGTCCTCACTGTTTGCTCTGGGGATGTTACAGGTAACAAGGATAAAGAACCGCCACCGCAAAACTATTTTTAAAACCCGTTATAAACAGGCACGAAGCACTTTCTCTCCCTGAAGTACATCCCTCTCGTGCGTGTCACTTGCAGCACGGGATGGGGGCGCCGATCTCGTACGACTCGCAACAGGCGACCTACACGGACGGGAGACTGGAGGCAATTCTGCTTGTGGCACAGGGACGTTCTGCTCGTTTCGCAGAAATAACGGGGTTTAAGAAGGATTCAGCTGCGCGGCCCCCAAAAACACCGGGCGCGCATCCCCCTGGCCACGCCCCCGCTTTGGCCACGCCCCCGCCTCGGATTTGGCCACGCCCCCCCTCTGGCGTCCCGGCATTCCCAAGCTTCGGAGCAGGGGGTGATGTGTGGTTTGGGAAGCCCGAAGCTTCATTGCAAGATACAACTCCATTGATATAGAAAAAAAAAAAAGTTGCTCAGACCCTATGGTGGGATGTGGGAAAACAAACAACCAACCAAACCGTCAGTTGTTCTTGGAGCGTTCGGTTTTCGTGAAACTTTTGGCTTCCTGCTGTGCTTTGTATCCTGCTGCTCTTAAAATGTATAACTAAGGGACTTGTGTTTCTTTTCAGGCCCCCGGAGGAGCTCCAGCAGCCCTTGTTTAGGGCCAGCTTCTGGTTTTGTGCCTGCTGCAGGGCGACAAGTGGAGTGGCTTCCCTCCCCCTGTGGCTTCAGACGCGGGGCTTGTCACCAGCAGCTCGGGCTGCAGCCACCGGAATGTGAGGAGTTGTGTGAGTAACAGAACGCCGGTGGGCAGTGCTGTGTTTGGAAGGAAAGAGTGATATTCCCGGGATTAAGTCCCTTCTCATTCTAAATGTTTCAGAATGCCCCAGAAGGTGTGTGAGCAATCTGGGCTGGGAAAAACGTGCCCAAACCACTCTGAGCCTGTGGTTTGCAAGGTGG